AAAATTCTGCTTTGCTTCACATTTTCTGTTAAACACGGGACTGCACCTTAACAGTACATAAAAAAAAGTTTCAGAAATATCTACAATTGAACACAAACCTTGTAAAATTCATCAACATATAATACTGTTGCTCTTTCAAATTCTTCCTTAAGATTATGACTTTCAATAATAATAGCAATATCATCATTGTCTATTATTTTACACATTGAGAACTCGGAATCATTTAAATCATTCAAGAAATCTTGAGCGGTTGAATGATTTATTTTTACTGAACCCCTCCATGTTGTCATTCGTCGTTTAAACCCGTCGTATGTAATTTTTACAGTTGGACAGCTGTTGTAAATTATTTATTTTACAAATAATATTAAAAATATCAAAATTAATAATAATAATAGTTTTTAATCATATTTTCATTACCAAATGTAACATGAATACAGGACTTGAAAAAAATAATTATAAAAATGTGCTTTTTTCGTAGACAATTTATGGGTAAGTACAAAAGTAATTGAGAATTGTTTTGTACAAATGTACAAAAGAAAAGCAATTGAGGATCTGGATCGGATACGCGCAGTCGAAAGGGACTGCCTCTGGGTCTCTAATCAAGAAACGTATCTCTTTTTGGTTAGAACAATTCGATAATGGTTCATTTTGTCAAGGTCGGACCACTATTTCTAATACATGAATTTGACAGATGTTTTTTTAACAAATATACAAAAAACATTGGTGCACACACATACTCACACATTTTGCCAAAGATATTAAGAAAATATTATTAAATCCTGTAAATTTTGTTAATTATTTCATTAAGTCAGTTTCTTGTAACAATAACGTTTTACTATTTTTTGTACTTGTAACTGTTTAAAAGTTGTAAACAATAATGGATACATGTTTCGTAACGCTAAAAATGTTATTTTATTTTTTAGCGATAATGCCCTTTGAATTTCAAACCTGGTCCGACCTTGACTGTTGGACTTTCCAACAACATACTTCAATTGGCCAAATTCATTTCTTTAAAAAAATTATGAACAAAAGTCAAAAAGTGGGTCGACCTCGACTATGCTCCCCTAAAGAATACGATATCAGTCCGCAATAAGCCGAATTCAATTCAGTTAAAAGATTTAATCCTAAACAAATATGGAACAATTCAAAATATGTATGCAAAGAATCCGGTAATAGTCAACGGCAATCCGAATAAAATATCCGATCAAAACACTCCATTCCGAAAAGAAGTCTTATTATAATAATATGGAATTTGTAAATATATACAATCCACAGACAGTCATTGCAAGTTGCGTATTATCAGACTAACTTCGGACTAGATCGGACTAATTCCGGATTCACTGGTTACACACAAACCGTACTGAGTTTGGATCTATCCGGGCTAATTCCGAGTGAGAAAAATCTGACCATAAGCAGACTGATTCGGATTAGCTGCGGATTCACTGTTTAAACCAACCCGATTACTTCTGCATTTACTAGTTGCATATGATCTAACTAACTTTGGACTAAACAAGGCTAATTACGGATTCAATAAAATACTGTATTCAGTTCAAACATAATTCAGGATAGAAAAACTTCACAATACATTTATTGTGGAGTTTTTCCATCCTGAATTTTGCCACTATAACTATTAGCGTGAGGTCTCCTTATACTACTTCGTGATTTGTATATTGTAAGAAAAGCACAAACTTTTGTTTCAGTAAAAAGAGGTTTGTTTTGGCATTAAATATCTAACCACACCTTGAGAAAGATAAGAAGACTTCTGTTAGAAAAAGAGATGAATATAAAAAAAAATCGGAACCGAATTCTTGTGTAAACGACTGAGAAGGGATTTCATTTACAATTATATTGTACTTTTGTAATTGGAAGTAACGTTTAGAAGAAATTATTCTTTCTTAAATAAAATAAATCTATAAATCTGATTTTAATTATGCCTGTTTTATAACTCTTATTTTTCAAATATTTGTATAATTAATTGGAGTTTTTAATTACCGTTCCTTAACTTTGTCTATAATCTTCTTATAAGATAAATCGGTTTCTTTGCACAATCTCATTATGCAGGTTTCAACCTGGTCTGTTCGAATGTGGTCAATATTACGCTGATCTAAATTTTTGCATTTGTGCTGATTTTCTATCGCAATTGACGCTTCAGTTCTAACAAGTTTCACATAACACGGATCTTTCCTGTACGCACAGTAAAAGATATCCTCATTGTCTGGCGACACATAGTAAAGTCTATTTTGGTAAAGACATTTTACTGAGTTCTTCTTCTTTCCTTTAAAGTAATATATCTATAAATAAATAATAAATTTAATTTTTTATTTTAAATTTTCTTACTCTATTATGATGTAAAAAATATAATTTACTGATAAAATTAAGGTAATGAAACTTTTAGATGTTATAAAATATTTAAATAGACTTTCATATTGAATCAGACGTAAGCTAAAAATTATTACATATATGCTTTATAATGGGTAACCTATATATGAGGGGGTTCAAAATAGATATAGCTGAAGTCCATAAACGTTTTCAAAAACGAAAATTCAAAAAAGACTATTTTTCAATTTAAATTCATTTTTAATTTTAATATGAACAAATTTTTAAAAAAATTAATTGTTACTCCAAAGACAATTGCTAAAGAATAAGAAGAAATAAGAAAAATAACAGCAAATAATATCAAAAACCTACAGTAAATTCTAAATATTTGTCAGCAGAAATAAAAGTCTCAAGTTTCATAAATGAAAGGCTGCCATTTTCGAGACAATTCTGAAGGACTGATAATGACTCGACAGTAAAATGGGAGGATATATTTCAATACTTAATACAGAGGACTGTACCTGAAGGTTACCACTAACAGCTAAAACTATAAGAACTATAATAAAATGTCTAAAAATCATTTCGGAAGAGATGATTTAGTTGTAGAATATTGTATGCAAGTGCGAACTATTATAGGGCTTGCGGGCTTGCCCTTCAAAAGACAAGCTATAAAAATCCAATAAAAGGATCTTAGTGGTAGTGATATGCTACAAAATCAATTTCTTTAAAAACGGAGAAATAGATATCAATGACATTATATTAATTAGTGATAATAATATCATAGCTCCTAGCTAGAATTGTAGGTGAAATCCCGAAAAGATATGACAAAAATAGTCTTTATCGTTTTATATAGGGTAAGTCTGGGGGAGATCGCCATAGTTTCTTTAACCCTCTGCTGATGCTAACTTATCCCCACTCTATCGCCAAAGCACGTAACTCCCATAGCCCCCACCAGGCGTCCAGAATGACGACTTTTGACGATAACGGTCGTTAGCATCATCAGAGAGTTAAAGTACTGTAAAAATTATAAAAAAAGCGATTTATGTCTAAATTTTTATTGATAATTAAACATTGAACATTTAACTTTAAAGTAACGAAAAATAAAATAAAATATTTTTATAAGAACAATCTTAAAATTTACATTTTGTAAAAAGGGTATTTGGCCATCTCTCCCGGAATATCCGGGTGAGATGGTCAACGCTTATGTTTTACTTTTAGCTTAAACTTAATTTTTAATCGTTCAAATTATTTTTTCTTATTCTGGTCACATTTTGAACATTTATCATGAGATTGAGTGCAGTTTTTATCTAACCAAAAACTTCAAATCCAATCTTCAATCAATGACGTTTGAATGAAACTTTCAACTCAACCTACAAATATAACTCCATCTCTAATGTTAATTAGATAAATTATTTTGTTCTCGAGCATTTTTAATTTGTTTTTCTTTAATATTTCTTAAGTATCCAACATTAACATAAAAAATTTTTAATAAAAGACATTAATGGCCATCTCACCCAATAATGCATGACAAAAGTAAACATCAAAATATTAAATAAATAAAATACTTTTTCCATTCATTTTTTGTGTATATCGAAGCGTCGGTTATGCACTACTCAATAAAACTTCAAATTAAAAAATATATTAAAAAATAACAATATGGCAATAAGAAATCTGAAATTTTTAATTTATTTTGGACTCATGCAAAAAAATGTAGAAGGATTACACTTACATTTTCATTATTTTTCAACAATTTGTTATTTACAATTATTAGCAGTCACAAAAGGTTGTAAAATAACTCATAATAAATGATGTTTATTAATAAATTTTGTAAAATATTTCAACTGTCCATCCCTACCGTATGGCCATCTTCCCCGGACTTACCCTAATAACAAACATTGTAGAGAACAAATTTGACAAACCCTAATAGATATTCTAAAAATTTAAAATAAAAGAAAATTTTTTAGGGGGACTTTCTGGTGAAGAATTTAAAAGCAATTAATTTTTTTACTATAAAAATACTCAAAAAAAGTTTCTAATTCTCTTTATGTTATACATAACAATGTCCAAAAACAATTTTTACTTCGTCCATTACGTAACTGTAAGAGGACTTATGTATCCGTATGCACTGTATGTATGTTCTTGAGGCCCGCTGAATCCAAATTTAAAGTCAGATTTAAAAAATTCAAAATGATGGACACAAAATTTGGGGTCGCACTTTACGAATATGATGTAAGACTGACGATCAAATTTTTTTAATGTTTGCGGATTTGTCTAAAATGTTTACTCAGGGGTTTTTGGGGTCATTGAATTCAAATTTTAAAATTTCACATTTATATTCGAATTTCATAACTTTAAAGACTCCCGAGAAAATATTTGCAGACAAATTTTTCAAATTAAAAAAATCGAATTGTTTTCATTAAAATTTGATTTATTAAACTATTCTGGAAGTAGCCTGAGGAAGAATACCTAGGCCTTAAACTTTTCCGTGTACCAAAACCAACCAGAAAGTCCCCTTTAGTGCATGTCAAAGTCGAATCAGCAGTTCCATTTACTTTTCTCTGAAAAATCAAATTGACCTTAAAACCTCCTTAAATAAGATTGTTTGGAGTTCCTTTAATAAAATACATAATAATATAAATATAAAACTAATTTTCTATTTATATCGTTAATAAAATTATCATCACCTTATTTATATCATACTCTATCTCTTGTAAGCAGTCATTGAGAATAGTTTCAATTCTGTTAGACATCTCGCACTGTAAGAAAATTTTTAATTTGTATTAAAATAGAATTTTATATTGTATATGTGGCATACCACGTCAAGTGATCCAGGTCCAAATTTAAAATGTTTGGGATCAGGTTATAAGTTTGCACAAACAGTAGTCCTATTAGATACAACTAAAAATACCAAATATTATTAAGTTATTTAAACAAATGTAAAAACTAGAGAGGATCAAAGTTTAAATATTTGGTCATATAATGGAATATTTGACAAATTTGTAGTTTCTTTAAAACAAAACGAAAAGATATTTTCTATTTTGGGTTTCTCTGCTGTTTTGAGTGGGGAAGAAGTTAGATACAAAATCGATCTCGGTCAAAGAACAAGAAAAAAGAATAAATTCATGATTTACTTTCGCCACGCCAAATTTACTTTCGCCACGCTAAAAATTACTTTCGCTACGCTGAATTTACTTTCGCCACGCCAAATTTTACTTAAGCCATGCTCTTCAGAGCAGCTGAGAAAAGTTCTACTTTCGCCAAACTTTTCTACCAAGAAAAGTACTCCTTTCAGAGCAAGTGTTGGAGAAAATAAATGTTGACAAAACTATTAAAAATACAACTTTTTACTAATTATAGTATAAAAATACATATATTTAACTGTAAAAAAATTTTGAAAAATGAAAAAATATTCAAAAATGACGAAGATATGGCGTTTTTTCAAAACTACATTTTTCGGAGCGGCGTACATGATTTCTCAAAAACTACTCAACCGATTCTCTTTAAATTTTGTACACAACTCCTCAATAAGAATAACATTCTCTATGACATGACGTAGCCGTTTTTAAAGAAAAATATTGTTGAGCAATTGGGAGCACTTAAAAAAAGGACTAAAATTTTGGGTAGGGGAGAGTGGGGCAAACCGACCATACCTACGGTTTTTGACTCTTGTGACTAAACGAATCAACCGATTTCATTTTTCGATGGCTTGTTTGAAAGATCATTTAATTGCGCAACTTTTTCTCAGAGGCACCTATATTTTATCTTTTATTGTTTGCTGTGTTAACTTTAAAAAAATGTGCAAACGAGCCGGTTCGCTCCACCCCCTGGGGTAAACCGGCCACCCCATGGGGCAAACCGGTCAGTTGGGTTTTTTATCTACAATATTGCATTTGTATAATCTACAATAACAATAAACATAAAGAATCATGTGAACAATAGTTGCAATAATGTAAATAATAATACAGGATTAAATTTTAATTAAATAAATAATCTTTTTAAATAACAAAAAAAAATTTTGAAATTATCAGAGAAACAATATTAAAGGGTCTAATTCTCATTGGAAGATTTGATTATTTTTCATTGAAAGTAAATATTCTAATGAAAAAAACATTCTAATTAATAATAATTTTTTTGAAACTCTGATACAATGAAAATATCTTATGGCCCTATTAACCCCTTAAAAAATGAAATTTAATTTTTTATCAAATGGACTTTTTTTATTTTTTAAAAAATTATTTTCATACAGGTTTTTCCTAAAAAAATATGTAGGTCAAAACGTGGGACTGGTCAAAATAAACATTTACTTCTGCAGTCCACTGCCCCTGAGCGTTGTTGGGCTGTATAATGTTTATAACAATTGAAATAAATTATTTTATGCTTTATTAATTATCTGCTGGTCTTATTGGATAAATTTGAATTGATTTAGATCATGTGCAGCAACAGAATAAGAAAATAAACGTCATTTTTTTAAAAAGTGTATTAATTTGTTAACTTTAATTTTAAAAAAATTATAAACAATTAAAATTCCCAAAATCGGCCTCGAGGGATGTCTTAAGAATTTATTCCCTTTTAATTTAAAACAAAGAACACTCAAATCGGTTAAAAATTGTAAGCTGTCCCGAGAGCTGTCCCACGTTTTGACCTATACATTTTTTTAGGAAAAAACCTCGCCTTTATGAAAAAAATAAAAAATGTCCATTTGATAAAAAAATGAAATTTTACTTTTTAATTGAATTTTCCAAGGTCAAAAAATTGGGTTTTTTTAAATTTGTTTATACCATTAGAAAGTTCTGAAAAACAGCAGATAAACCCAAAATAGAAAAAATCTTTTCCTTTTGTTTTAAAGAAACAACAAATTTTTCAAATATTCCATGTAAATTTTAGACCCAGATTACTTGACGTGGAATACCACATATATATATATATAATTTATATTTTATATTTATAAAATAGAAATTTATATTGCCTTTGATGACTATGCAATAAATGAAAAAAGATAAATGTATATCTGCAACTTTATTAAATTTATATAATGTACATGGAAAAAATTTGGGGACTACAGAAGCACTCAGCGCCACTTAGCACTTATTCTTCTATCTTTGGACAAGCAATATCCCAAATGGGGAGCTACTCGGTATCCCCAGAAGTATAGCAGATGCAACACAGTGCACACCAGAGCTCTATAGTTAGGACTTCAGTTGAACAAAGACAGCAGTACAAAATCTGTACAAGATTTTGCGCTTCTATAGAGTTCCTAAAATTTTATCCATGTAATATATGGGTGATTTTCTCAAAAAGGATAAATTACTTGAGCACGCGTGTTAGGCGGTGTTTTTGTTTAAGTAGAGGTTCCACTAATTTTGAGATGTTTTTTTATAAAATTGTTTTTACAAAAAAAAAATATTTATTACTTTAAATTTTTATATTATAAAATACAAGTCTTAAAGGACTAGAATTTTTTTTTAATAAAGTCTTAGAAAATGGCTGACGAAAGTGATCATGTTACATTGTAATATTAATAATATTACAGTAATGTTAGGTGTCACTTGAAAAATAAATAACCTCCATTAAAAATTGAAAATTATCTTAAAAAAATTATAACTTCATTATTGAAAAATATTATCGTTAAATTAATGTCAAATTGACGTAAGAAAATAGTCAAAATGTGGAACACATTTTCGTCAATTCGAGTAATCAATTTTATGAAAATTTAATGTCAATTAGACATAGAATTTGTGATTTTTCTCTTTGGGTGTTCATATTGTTCATTAGCATTTTCTCAAAAAACAAATTTTATCAGATGTATTTTTAGAAAAAAAGGTGCAAAAAGATATCTTGTTTCGAAATGAATGTCGAAAATGGGTTAACTTTGTGAGAAATAATAAAGATAAAGTTGTCTTTTCATTTCTTTAACGTTAATTTTGTTTGATTTCCAACCTACTAAAATATTATTTTAAAACTACAATTCTACTGTAATTTAATATAATAAGTTTAAGCAGTTCTGAAAATGAGAAGAAATGATACAAAAATTGTATTTCGACATACTAAAACGCTTCATTTCAAAAAATTGTTTTCATAAATCTTGAAAAAGGCTTAATTCTGACAACTATATATTAATTTTCTCCAATTCACTCTCATTTCATTTTTAAAAACAAAAATGCAAAAAAGAATTTTTTTCGCTTTTAATTCATTTCTAATTTTAATATGTAGGGGAGAGGGCCCCAAGATGGACATTTCCTATAAAATTTTTGTTTAAAGTGACAGCATCTTCTCAATTTTTTTATTTTTGTTGTTTGTATAGACGAAGATTTTTATGCATATTTGAAAAATAAAACCAGTTTTTTTTTCTACTGCGCATATCACCTGAATTTTTTGTCAAAAAAAGTTTTATTTCCGATTTTTCTCAAGTCGATAAAGTTATTTAAATTTTTTATTTTATATAGGTATTTATCGTTATAATATTATTTATTTATCATATAATAATATTCTAAAATGATTTTATTAATATTTTGTTTGTATACAATTTTTTTCTGGGTTTCAAAAAATGGTGTCATTTACCCTAAGATGGACACTTTCGAGACCCTAAGATGGACACCACATTTCAATGTATTTATTTTCATGCTTTCGATTACACATTTTTAAAATAATTTTGTAAGCCTCGTAATTGAGATTTTTTATTTTTACCGCCATGGAATGTAGAGCTATCGATAGAGAATTCGATATATCGATATATCGAATATCGATTTCTCGAAAAGCGACGGCGGCGCTTCAGTCGTTTTTACTTTTTACAAATTGACAGTAAATAGAATAAAATGATTAAACATTAGTTTAAAAATTAATACAGGATGTTTATCTTTATTTACCACACTTTAAAGTGATTTTTAAGAAGGTGTCCATCTTGGGGCCACTTTTTTTGGTCAAAAATTTTAACAATTAGAAAAAATTCTATAAAAAATGTTTAAGTTCAAAATATAATTTTATCTCAGTGGCCATAAGTTACCTAATAAATTGTACTTTCATTTAGTATAAAACATTTTAAAATATCTTATTCGGTTTGGATTTTAGAGCCATCAATCGAAGAGGTGCCCATCTTGGGGCCCTCTCCCCTACAAATTTTTTAAATTAAACAAATTAATTGTTTCTTCAAAGAAAATTGCTAAGAATATCAATTACAAGGATTCCAGTCGCATAAATAACTGAGTTGAACCGTTTTCTATATTCTCGATTTAATAATTATCTACAAAAATGTTGAATTCAAACTTTTTAAAAGTCTAATTCTTTTAGAATATTTGAATTCTATTATTAAAAACTTCCGAAAAAAGGTTAAATAAATATTTAATTAGTATATTAATATATTCTGACATAGGATTTAAAATTTTTTAAAATTTCAATTTCAAATATTCTAAACATTTCATTACTAACTTCTAAAAAATATAACTGTAATTCTTATGAACACCAATTATTATTTTCTACAATTTTTAATAATCATCCAAAAGTTTAATAATTTTTATAATTTTGAAATTAAATTCTTTATGAAAATATATGTGGACGTATACATGAAAAGGGCCCATTTTGGCACTATTGGAATTATCTATATGAGCGAATTTCTTGCACAATTTGAAAAATTTTTATTGGGCATAAAACTTTTATGGTGAAAAATTCGATGAGTTACAGAATTTAAGGGGAGACCCCACCTTAATTTTGACCCCTTTAAAATAAAATTATTAAAGGAGGTAATATTTTTTTTCTTGCATCA